TTCATCATAAAAGATATGGGTAGTTTCTGCTTTGTTTTTATTGTAGTGTCTTTTTTGGGTTTTAGTTTCAGAGCAATACCTTCTAACTCATAGGTTGAGTTACAAAGTATTTCCTCCTTTTCAACTTTTTGGAACAGTTTCAGAAGAACTGGTGTTTATTTTTAAATGCTGGTAGCCTTCAACAGTGAAGCCCTCTGTTATAGGGCTTTTCTTTGATGGGAAGTTTTTGACTACTGATTCAATCTCCCATTTATATTGTCTATTTCTTTCTTATTCCATCTTGTTAGATTGTATGTTTACAAGAATTTGCCCATTTCAATAACATTATTCCAACTCATTGGCATACATCTGTTTATAACACTCTCTTATAATCCTTTTTACTTCCATAAAATTGATAATATTTTCCCCAATTTCATTTAAAATTTTAGTATAGTCTTCACTATTTTTTAATAGTCATTCTAGCTAAAGGTTTGTCCATTTTGTTCTTCTAAGAGACAGAACTTCTAGTTTTATTTATTTTTTATCACAAAGCAATTTATTTCTTTACAAAATGGATCTCTGATTTGCAAGGGGGTTTACTTCAAGCACATTTATAAAGCCAGCTTCTTCATTACAGCACTTCCTCCTTGGGGCACACTTGCACACTTCTTTTTTTTTTTTTTTTTTTTTTTTTTGTAATTTAGGTTCTGGGATACATGTGCAGATCATGCAGGATTGTTGCATAGGTACATACATGGCAAGGTGGTTTGCTGCCTTCATCCCCCCATCATCTATATCTGGTATTTCTCCCCTCATTATCCCTCCCCACCCTCCCCAACCCTATTGTCCCTCCCCTACCCCCCACCACTATGTGTGATGCTCCCCTCCCTGTGTCCATGTGTTCTAATTGTTAACACTTGCCTATGAGTGATAACATACGGTGTTTGGTTTTCTGTTCGTGTCAGTTTGCTGAGAATGATGGGTTTCCAGATTCATCCACGTCCCTATGAAGTACACGAACTCATCGTTTTCTATGGCTACATGGTATTCTATGGTACATATGTGCCACATTTTCCCTGTCCAGTCTATCACCGATGTGCATTTGGGTTGGTTCCAGGTCTTTGCTATTGTGAACAGTGCTGCAATGAACATACGTATGCATGTGTCTTTATAAAAGAACAATTTATAGTTCTTTGGGTATATACCCAGTAATGGAATTGCTGGGTCAAATGGTACTTCTATTTCTAGGTCCTTGAGGAATCGCCACACTGTCTTCTACAATGGTTGAACTAATTTACACTCCCACCAACAGTGTAAATGTGTTCCTATTTCTCCACATGCTCTCCAGCATCTATTGTCTCCAGATTTTTTAATGACCACCATTCTAAGTGGTGTGAGATGGTATCTCATTGTGGTTTGATTTGCATTTCTCTAATGACCAGTGATGATGAGCATTTTTTCATATGTTTGTTGATCTCACTGATGTCTTCTTTTGTAAAGTGTCTGTTCATATCCTTCGCCCACTTTTGAATGGGCTTGTTTGCTTTTTTCTTGTAAATCTGTTTTAGTTCTTTGTAGATTCTGGACATCAGCCCTGTGTCAGATGGATAGATTGCAAAAACTTTTTCCCATTCTGTTGGTTGCTGGTTCACTCTAATGACTGTTTCCTTTACTGTACAGAAGCTCTGGAGTTTAATTAGATCGCATTTGTCTATTTTGGCTTTTGCTGCCAGTGCTTTTGGTGTTTTAGCCATGAAGTCCTTGCCTATGCCTATGTCCTGAATGGTTTTGCCTAGGTTTTCTTCTAGGATTTTTATGCAGTTAGGTCTTATATTTAGATCTGTAATCCATCTGGAGTTAATTTTAGTGTAAGGTGTCAGGAAGGGATCCAGTTTCTGCTTTCTGCACATGGCTAGCCAGTTTTCCCAACACCATTTATTAAATAGGGAATCCTTTCCCCAATGCTTTTCTCAGGTTTGTCAAAGATAAGATGATTGTAGATGTGTGGTGTTGCTTCCGAGGCCTCTGTTCTGTTCTGTTGGTCTATGTCTCTGTTTTAGTACCAGTACAATGCTGTTTTGATTACTGTGGCCTTGTAGTATAGTTTGAAGTCTGGCAGTGTGATGCCTCCAGCTTTGTTATTTTTGCTTAGGATTGTTTTGGCTATGCAGGCTCTCCTTTGGTTCCATATGAAGTTTGAAGTGTTTTTTTCCAGTGCTTTCTTCCAGTTCTGTGAAGAAGGTCATTGGTAGCTTGATGGGGATAGCACTGAATCTACAAATTACTATGGGCAGTATGGCCATTTTCATGATGTTGATTCTTCCCAACCATGAGCATGGAATGTTTTTTTCCATCTGTTTGTGTCCTCTCTTACTTCATTGAGCAGTGTTTTGTAGTTCTCCTTGAAAAGGTCCTTTCATCTTTTGTTAGTTGTATTCCTAGGTATTTTATTGTCTTGATAGCAATTGTGAATGGGAGTTCTCTTTTGATTTGGCTCTCTGTTTGTCTGTTATTGGTGTATAGAAATGCTTGTAATTTCTGCACACTGATTTTGTATCCTGAGACTTTGCTGAAGTTGCCTATCAGTTTCAGGAGATTTTGGGCTGAGATGATGGACTTTTCTAAATATACAATCATGTCATCTGTGAATAGAGACAATTTGACTTCCTCTCTTCCTATTTGAATACCCTTTCTTTCTTTCTCTTGCCCAATTGTCCTGGCTAGAACTTCCAATACTATATTGAATAGGAGTGGTGAGAGAGGGCATCCTTGTCTTGTGCCAGATTTCAAAGGGAATGCTTCCAGTTTTTGCCTGTTCAGGCTTTTCTATTCTTTATTTCATTTCTCTCTGCAGCAATATTTATTATTTCCTTCCTTCTGTTAACTTAGGATTTAATTTGTTCTTTTTCCAGTTTCTTTTTCTTTTTTTATTCTACATTAAGTTCTTGAAAATATGGGCAAATCTTGCAGGATTGTTACATAGGTATGCACAGGCCATGGTGTTTTGCTGCCTCCATCCCCCCATCACCTACATTAGGTATTTCTCCTGTTACCCTTCCCAACCTCCCCACCCCCTGCTATTGCACCCCCCGCCCCCCCCCCCCCCAAGAGACCCCAGTATGTGATGTTCCCCTCCCTGTGTCCATGTGTTCTCATTGTTCAACATCCACTTATGAGTAAGAACATGCAGTGTTTTGTTTTCTGTTCTTGTGTCAGTTTGCTGAGAATGATGGTTTCCAGATTCATCTATGTCTCTGCAAAGGACATGAACTCATCCTTTTTTATGGCTGCATAGTATTCCATAGTGTATATGTGCCACATTTTCTTTATCCAGTCTATCCTTGATGGGCACTTGGGCTGGTTCCAAGTCTTCACTATTGTAAACAGTGCTGCAATGAGCATACATATGCATGTGTCTTTATAATAAACAATTTATAATCCTTTGCATATATACCCAGTAATGGGATTGCTGGGTCAAATGGTATTTCTATCTCTAGATCCTTGAGAAATCACCACACCGTCTTCCACAATGGTTGAACTAATTTACACTCCCACCAACAGTGTTAAAGTGTTCCTATTTCTCCACATCCTCTCCAGCATCTGTTGTCGCCAGATTTTTTAATTATTGCCATTTTAATTGGTGTGAGATGGTATCTCGATATGGTTTAATTTGCATTTCTCTAATGACCAGTGATAATGAGCATTTTTTCATATGTTTGTTGGCCACATAAATGTCTTCTTTTGTAAAGTGTCTGGTCATATCCTTTGCCCAGTTTTTGATGGGGTTTTTTCTTGTCAATTTGCTTTAGTTCTTTGTAGATTCTGGATATTAGCCCTTTTTCAGATGGGTAGCTTTCAAATATTTTTTCCCATTCTATTGGTTGCCGGTTCACATTAATGATTGTGTATTTCGCTGTGCAGAAGATCGTAAGTTGTTTGCTTCTGCTGTGCTGAAGCTTTTTAGATCCCACTTGTCTATTTTAGCTTTTGTTCTGTTTCCAATTTCTTAATGTATAAGGCTGTGTGGTTGATTTGAGAGCTTTCTTTGATTTTTAATATTTCATTGTTTTTTATTTATAAATTAGAATTGTATTTATTTACAGAGTACAATGTGTCATTTCGATATATGTACACATGTATCCATCCTCTCAGTTACTATAATTTGTTAAGGAGACACATTTAAAATTTACATTCTTAGCAATTTTGAAGCACACAATATGGTACTGTTAACTATAGTGACCCTGTTGTTCAATGAAACTCAATGAATTCCTCCAGCTGAGCGCAGTGGCTCACGCCGGTAATCCCAGCACTTTGGGAGGCCAAGGTGGGCAGATCAAGAGGTCAAGAGATGGAGGCCATCCTAGCCAATATGGTGAAACCCAACTCTACCAAAAAGAAAAAAAAGAAAATTAGCTGGGAATGGTAGTGCACACCTGTAGTCCCAGCTACTTGGGAAGCTGAGGCAGGAGAATTGCTTGAATCTGGGAGGCAGAGGTTGCAGTGAGCCAAAAAGATGCCACTGAACTCCAACCTGGCAATAGAGTAAGACTCCATCTCAAAGGAAAAAAAAAGTTATTCCTCCTGTCTCACTGAAACTCTTTACCCTTTTAACATCTCCCCATTCCTAGCTTCCAGCCCAGCCTCTGTAACTACTGCTCTTCCCTCTACTTTTGTGAGTTCAACTTTTTTAGATTCCACAAGTGAGATCATATTTGTCTGTACAAACCTGGCTTATTCCACTTAGCAAATTGTCCTCCAGGTTCATTCAGGCTGTCACAAATATAATTTCCTTTTTAAAAGCCCAAGAATATTCTATTGTGTATTTACACCACATTATCCATTCATTCATTGACATACTCTTAGGTTGACTTCTATGATGGACACTTAAGTTGATTTCCTATCTTAGCTATTGTATTGCAATCAACGTGGACATAGAGATATCTATTTGACATACTGATTTCAATTCCTGTGGATATATACCCAGAAGTGGGATTACTGGAGCATGTGGTAGTTCTATTTTCAGTTTTTGAGAAATCCATATTGTTTTCCATATTAGCTGTAGTAATTCACATTTCCAACTTTTCTCCATATCCTCACCAATACCTGTTTCCTTTTCTCCATATCCTCACCAATACCTGTTATCTTTCACCTTTTGGATAACAGCCATGTTAGATAAAATCTCACCTATCAAACTGGTATGTGAGATCGTATCTCATTGTGGTTTTGGTTTGTATTCCCCTAATGATTAGCGATGTTGAGCATTTTTTCACACACTGTTGGCCATTTGTATGTCTTCTTTTGAGAAGTGTTTGTTTAGAGCCTTTGCCCATTTAAAAAAATTTATCAAATTATTTTATTAAATTTAAAACATATTATTTACTGTGGTCACCATGCAGTATAATAGATCACTAAAACCTATTTCACTGGTGTAAGTGAAACTTGTTACCTTTTGATCATCTCACTTTTCCCCATTTCTCCCCACCCTTAGCCTCTGGTAACCACCTTTCTGCTCTCTGTTTCTACAAGATTGACTTTTTTAGACTCCACATGTGAGATCACACAGTATTTGACTTTCTGTGTTTGGCTTGTTTCAGTTAGCAAAATGTCCTCCAGTTCCACCTATGTTTTTGGAAATTACAGAATATCCGTCTTTTTAAAAGATTATATAGTATTCCATTACAAACATATGTATATATATGTGTGTACATACACACACACACATACATATATGTATATATATAATGTCGTCTTTATCCATTCATCCATTGATGGACATTCAGGTTGCTTTCATATCTTGGCTATTGTGATTAATGCTAAAATGAACATAAAAGTGCAAATATATTTTCAACATAGCAATTTTAACTCCTTTGGATGTAACTACAGTACAGAAATGGGACTGCTGGATCATATGGTGATTCTACTTTTAATTTTTTTGTGGAAACTTCATATTATTTTCCAAAATGACTATATTAATTTACTTTTTTCCTTTTTAAATCAGGTTATCTGTTTTCCTGCTATTAAATTGTTTGAAATACTTATATATTTTGGACATTAACCTCTTATCAGATGTATGATTTTCAAATATTTTCTCCCACTCTAAAGGTTGTCTCTTCAATCTATTGATTGTTTGCTTTGTTGTGCTGAAGCTTTTTCATTCAATGCAACTCCATTTGTTTATTTTTTGCTTTTGTTGCCTATACTTTGCTTCATATTCAAAAAATCACTGTACAAACCAATGTCATGGAGCTTTTCCTCTATGTTTTATTCTAGTAGTTTTACACTTTCAGATCTTAATACTTAAGTCTTTAATTTAATACATGCTGACTTGATTTTTGTATATGATGTGAAATAAGGGTTCAATTTCCTTCTTCTGCATGTGGATACTCAGTTATCCCAACAACAGTTATTGAAGACTATCCTTCTTCATTATGTCTTCTTGGCACCTTTGTTGAAAGTCAATTGATCGCAAACGTGTAGATTTATTTTGGGGCTCTCTTTTCTGTTCTTTTGGTATATGTGGCTGTTTTTATGCCAATACTCTGCTTTTTTTTCAGTTACTACAGTATTGTAGCATATTTTGAAGTTAGGTAGTGTGATACTTCAAGCTTTGTATTTTTTGCTCAAGACTGCTTGACTATTCAGTTTCTTTTGTAGTTCCACATAAATTTTAGAACTTTTTTTTTCTTTTTTACTATTTCTGTGAAAACATCACTGGAATTTTGTTATGGATTACACTGATTCTGTACATTGCTTTGGGTAATATAGATGTTTTACTAATACTAATTCTTTCAATCTATGAACATATGATATCTTTCCATTTATTTGTGTCATCTTTTATTTCTTTCATCCATGTTTTTTTATTTCCAGTATACAGATCTCTCACCTCCCTGGTTAAGTTTAAATCTGGTTTGAATGTGTTCCCCAAAGTTCAATGTATTGAAAATTTGATCCCCAATGCAGTGGTGTTGTGAGATGAGGCCTAATGGGACGTGTTTGGGTCTTGGGGAAATTATCCTCATGAACAGATTATGCCATTATCACAGAAGCAGGTTTGTTGTCACAGGAAGGGCTGTCTTGTTTGTTCCCTCTCTCATTCTTCTACCTGATACCAAGGAGTGATGCAGCAAAATGGCCCTCACCACATGCTGGTCCCTCTATCTTGGACTCCCCAGCCTACTGTGAGTCAATTCATTCTGTTAATTATAAATCACCAGCTTGTTTCCTCTCTCACTCTTCTACCTGATGCCTAGGAGTGATGCAGCAAAAAGGCCCTCACCACATGCTGGCCCCTCTATCTTGGACTCCCCAGCTTACTGTGAGTCAATTCATTCTGTTAATTATAAATCACCATTCTGCTGTATTCTGTTATTATAGCACAAAACCAACTAAGACAGGAGAGATGTTTAATAAATGTAAATTATGTTAAGTTGCTTGACAGTGTTGTTCAAGTCTTCTATATCATTCTGTATCCTTACTGATTTTCTTTATATTCTACCAACTATTCAAAGAAGGTGCTGAAATCGCTATACTTACTGATTTGTGTATTTCTCGTTAAAGTTTTAAAAGTTTTTATTAAATGTGTTTTGAAGCATTTTTATTAGGTGCATAAATATTTGGAATTGTTATGTCAGGTTGATGAATTGACCACTTCAGCATTACAAAATTACTTTCTTTATCTCTGGTAACATTCTTTGCTTTGAAATCTACTTTGTATGATGGGGTAAAAAAAAAAAAAACAGCTGACTTTTTAAGTTATATATGCCTTTCTCTTGTTGTTGTTTGGAGGAAAATGATGCACTTTCCAGGGATTTGTCTTTTTTGTAGTCAAGGTCCCAAGAGCAATTTTTTAAAACATTAAGGTTATTACTGAAACTCTTCTAGTAAAACACTGTTTCATGTGCTGCTTTTTCCTTCTCTTAATGTTTCCCAGATGCCTCCTCTGATGTGGTTTGGCTCTGTGTCACCAATCAAATCTCATCTTGAATTGTAATCACCCCATGTTGAGGGAGGGACCTGGTGGGAGGTTACTGGATCATGGGAATGGTTTCCCCCATGATGTTCTCGTAATGGTGAGTTCTCACGAGATGTGTGGTTTAAAAACTGTGGCACTTTTGCTTCCCTTTCTCTCCCTCTTACCTCCCTGTGAAGAAGGTCCCTGTTTCCCTTTTGCCTTTCACCAGGACCATAAGTTTCCCGAGGCCTCCGCAGCCGTGCAGAAGTGTGAGTCAATTAAACCTCTTTCTTTCATAAATTGCCCAGTCTTAGGTTCCTTATAGTGGTGTGAAAATGGACTAATACACGTTCTTTATCTGTTCAGTCCTAATCAGAATTCTTACCCTTCTAATTCTGGATCTTATCATTAAATTTCTGAGCTAGACTCTAATTATATGATATTAAATATATATAATTTATGAAGTCTAATTTCAAAGATCCAGAATCTTTTGAAATCCATATTACAGTTTTAACTCCTTTGAAAGAACTCTAGACTTCAAACAGGATTTCTTATATGGTGAATGCTCAAAAAATGACCTCTGTAGTAGGATCCAGAAAAGCATTTTTGTACTAGACTTATCTCTACTGAAAAATTAATTATGCTCAAAATCAACTTAAAAATAAATTTTTTAAAACACCATACCTTAAATTTATGGAGAAACCACCACCAAAAAGAGTCATGCAAAAGAGCAATGGAGGCTTCAGAGAGAAAGTGAATCTTCCAGATGTTAAAAACTTTTTCCTATGGGAAAAAAAACAAAAAAGAGATGCATAGAGATTAAAACACATTACAAAACATGTTAATATAAATAGGCTTTATAAAGAGTATGCTTTCAATGCTTATAGATCAGCACTGTCCAACAGAAATTTAACATGAGCCACATACATAATATTAAATATTCTTGAAGCCACATTAAAAAAGTAAAAAGTGAAATTAATTTTAGTAACATTTTATTTAACCAAATATGTTGAAAATATCACCCCAACATACAATTTACATAAAAAATTATTAAAAATATTTCATTCCTTTTTGAGTACTAGGCATTTGAAATATGGTATATATTTTTGATATCGTATGTCAATTTGAACACTACATTTTCATCAGAAATACTAGATTAATATTTAGGTTTCATAGAATACATGTTTGTAATTTTGTTCCAAGCATAATTAAACATTTTTAAATAACTAAATCAAATTTAGTTTTTAGATTTACATATGAGTTAAAAGAAATACAATAAAAAATTTAGCTCCTCAGTCATACTAGCCACATTTCACATGCTCAATAACCATATTTGGCTAGTTGATATCGAAAGGACAATGTCGGATAGGCCATGAACAGCAAAAATGTAAGATTCATGCCATGAGTTCCCCCTTTTCCACTGAGGACAAATATCAACAATCAATCATGGACTTCTATTTCAATAAGCCCTTCTTCTGGGCCTGTCCAGTGTTCTTCCAAAGCAGACAATTGATCAAAATTGGTATAAATGGTTAAATCTGTCTACAGTAACTACTAGAAACTGTAAGTTTTTGTTTAAATAGGCAGATTCAACAGATCATTTTATCTTCTTATTCACAAAATGTTAATGTCAGACTGAGACATTGAAGGTTCTTTTATGTCTGAAATTAATTTCTTTTGATTACATCCAGAGGTATGAATTCCTCTTCAAGTACAGGTCTATAAAAAGACCATCATGCAACTTTCATAACAAGAAAATTATTATGTATTCTGTGGGGGCACATCTTTTTCATAAGCCACTAAAGCATAGTATGAAATACACTGGTAACAGCTTCAACTTGGATTTAATACTTTTTAGTGACAAAGAATATATGTAATGTACATAAACATAAAAATCAGAAAATTGAAATAGAGGGCAAAATGACCAGTCTTACCAGGTAACCACCTCATATTTTAATCCTGGTATTCACTGGCTATTTTATAACAGTTAAATTGAAATGGAGGGCAAAATGACCACATTTACTAGGTAACTACTCCACATTTTAGCCCTGGTATTCACTGTCTATTGATCTAACTACCTCTGAATACCTCTAGTTTTTCATCTTTTGGTTACCCTATAGGGATATTACTCAAAAATTCCTACAGACACTTGAAGACTCAAAAGAAACACCCAAAGGGTTGTGAAGAAGGGCACTCACAACTTATTTCAGGATCTACAATGAGCAGGCTAAAACATCCTGAGCTGACAGAGCAGGAACAGACCAGAAGGAAAAAACACCTGTCGTGGTTACATGCCAAGCCAGTGTACACTAGCAACCTCAGGATCCTGAAGCAGTACCACAGAGTTTAATACATTATTTTCTGGTAATCAGTAGGTTAGACACATCACTGGTCTTTCCTGCCAAATTTAATGCCCAAAGGATCAAATCTTGTTTAACATCTAATTATTTATCACAGCTTTAAATAAAGGTCTAATTCATTAAATCCTACTGTCAAAATTTATCCTACAATAAAATGAAATATTTACATACATCAAAATTATGGGCTTTTAAAATAAAAAGATAAATTTGTTTGGCATCCAAATGTCTGGGTAGCTGAGTAAGTTCATTTGCTTTGAATCCTGTGAAGATGCAATCCTAGAAAGAGGCGAATATAACACGACAGTAATTATTTTACTTTTCTCACTATAGTATACTCGTATAACTACAGATAACCAACAGTTACCTATCACTCACTAACATAATTTTACTTCTTTTTACTAAATAAATTAAGTAAAATTTATATATCCCATCTAAGAAAAACCTTCAGCCAGATGCAGTGGCTCACGCCTGTAATCCCAGCACTTTGGGAGGCCAAGGTGTTTGCGGTTAGGAGTTCGAGACCAGCCTGGCCAACATAGTAAAACCCTGTCTCTGCTAAAAATATAAAAATTAGCCAGGCATGGTGACACACACCTGTAATCACAGCTACTTGGGAGGCTGAGGCAGGAGAATCACTTGAACCTGGGAGGCAGAGGCTGCAGTAAGCCAAGGTTGCACCACTGCACTTCAGACTGGGCCACAGAGTGAGACACTGTCTCAAAAAAAAAAAAAATGAAAAGAAAAACCTTCATATTATCTGCTTCTCTGAAATAAGAAGCCCTGGCACATTCATAGGCCATATCTAAAATCAAAACAAAATCATACTTCAGAACTAATTTTGACATAAACTCAAATGATCAAGAATTTTAGCTGGACTATACATAAATAAATACAGACTAGGCAGCTTCTATACCTGCTTCTGATTCTCTCCGCTGGTACCTCTCTCTATATTTAGAGCTATGTTTATATTATTGTAAACATTATTTTAGTCCTACATAATACACTTGATTTACAATCTGGCAAAACATAAATTTTAAGTACCTCTATATTCTTCTCTGTCTCCATGTCATCTGAAAGCTGGAAAACATTTAAAGCAAAATCTTTAAAACTATAAATTAAAGAAATTTAACATTTAGTAAATTTGTTCAGTTAACTAGTATGCATATGTATAGATATAGATATAGATACATCCTACAGAGGCCTTAAATACTATTGCTGTGTTGGATACTGGAAATTCAAAGATGGTCCTTGCCCTCAAACTAGTTATGGTTCAAGAAGGGAATCAGATATATTCATAAACAAAACGAACAGAGATAAGGGCTAAAATAAACAAACCACTATTACAGTTAGGTTCCCTGAGAAATAGATTCTCTGGAGGAGTTTAGTGTTCAGAACATTTATTGGGAGTGCTTTTGGAATCAATGCCTTTGGCAGTTAAGGGAAGAGGCAGGATTAGGCAGATGGAGAAAGCTATGATTCAAGCCTAACAGCCCCAACTGACTCCAAGAAGAATTCTAGAGGTGAAAGTATCCATCAGAGTTGTCCTGCATTGCACTGAAATAGCCAGGACTTCCTGCCCCAACTTGAGCAGTCACTGAGTCACTCCTGGAAAGATGTTTCCTCAGAAGAAGAAGCTCTCCGGGGGTAATGAATCCCATGAAGGAGATGACAGTTGAAGTGTGGCCCTTTACAGCACTCTTAGCTGCTAAAGAAACAGATCTTTCTTTGAAAGGAAATCCGGGTGGCAAATTTTAATGTCTGCTATACTGCTTTACACACAGAGATCAGTTTTTGATTATCTAGTCATGTTTTTATATATATATATATATATACATACACACACATATATATATTCATATTCTATAGACACAGACAGATGATAGATATATAGACAGATAGCAGGTTAATTTCCACATTCCTAATTACTCCAAAAATAACTAAGCTTACAAGTAAGTTTTACACATATAAGAACATACATACACACATATTACACATATACATATGTTAGAAAGGAGGGGACAAACAACATATGAAACAGATTGGTAAGAATGATAGATTGCTTCCAGAAAGAGGATCATATTATTCTCATTTTTAGAAGTGTACACAGGAATAAGAAAGAGAGACTTTTTAGGAAAAAATGAGATCAAATATGATTTTAAAGAAGGCTATGTGCTCGAAAGCTACAGATACAATAAAGATGGGGTCAGAAATAGGGCTACATTAAACTAGGAAACTTTTGTACAGCAAAGGAAACAACAGTGTGATGAGACAACCTGTGTAGCGGGAAAAAATATTTGCAAACCATTTATTTAATAAGAGACTAATATCCAGAACATATTAGTATTCAAGGAACTAGAACAACTCAACAGCAAAAATAAACACCACATAATACCATCTAAAAGTGGGCAAAGGATCTGAATATACATTTCTCAAAAGAAGACATACAAATGGCCTACAAAAAACATTCAACATCACAAACCATCAGATAAATGCAAGTCAAACCCACAACGAATCTTACCCAAGTTAAAATGGCTATTACCAAAAGACAACAAATGCTAGTAAGGATGAAGAGAAAAGAGAACTCTTATGATACTGTTGGTGGAAATGTAAATGTAGTACAGATATTATGGAAAACAGGGGTTTCTCAAAAAACTAAAAATAGAACTACCAAACAATTAGTTCAGCAATCCACTACTCAGTATCTCTCCACTAGAAAGGAAGTCAAAGGGATACCTGCACTCCCAGGTTTATTGGAATACTATTCATGATAGCTGAGATATGAAACCAACCTAAGTTTCCATCAAAGGATAAATAGATAAAATGTTGTGTATATATGTAATGGAATACTATTTAGCCATTAAACAAATGAATTCCTGTCATTTGCAGCAATGTGGATAAAGCTGGAGGTTGTCTGTTAAGTAAAATAAGATAGGCACAGAAAGACAAGTATTATGTATTCTTATTCACATATGGGAACTTAAAAAGTTTATCTCGTGGAGGTAGAGTGTAGAATGATGATTACCAGAGGCTGCTGAGGGAGTGGAGGGGATTAAGAGAGGTTGGTTAATGTGTACAAACACACAGTTATCTAGAATGATTAAGTTCTACTATTTGATAGCATAGTAGGGCAACTATAGTTAACAACAATGTATTGTATCTTTCAAAATAGCTAGAAGAGAAGATTTGAAATGTTTCTGACACAAAAAAATAATAGCTATCCTAAATAACCTGATTTGATCATTACACATTGCATGCATGCATCAAAATATCACATGTACCCTCTAAATAGGTACAATTAGTATATATCAATTAAAAA